AGCATTCAAAAATCACAAAACGTTACTTAGAAAGTAGGGCTTAGTGGAGATCTGCCAGCCTGAAAACAAAAATAAATAAAAGAAATAATGTAAAGCGCGCGCACACACACATACACTCACAAGGATTTTAATATATTTAACTAAAGTGAAGGCTTCACATCAGATTCAGTATGGAGCAAAGCAGACATCAGATTTAAGAAGTGAGATGGATGGGTGCCATCTTGTGGTTTGGATTCTCAATTACATGAAAAGACCTTTTAAATGAAAAGTAATTTGGTGAACTGAACCAATATACACTAATGCAGATTTCCTTGCCCTGAGATAAAACAGGTTTGGTCCATGTTTAATTAGTAATTTACCTTTAAGTAGAATTAACACTTTGCTTGTATTTAATGCCAGGAAGATTGAAGGCATGCAAGATGTAAGCCACATATGAATGTCATGTGAATTACCTTGTGGAATTCAAAAACTATTTAATGAAAGGGAAGGAAGATACAATTTAAAGGGTCAGTTAAATTAAAAAAATTAATGCTATACGTACAACCAAAAAAAGATTTTGTATTTCCATAAGTGGGGTAAAACTATGGAATAATTTAAGTGCGGACATAAAAACAGTAATAGAATTGACGAGTTTAAATGTAAATATAAAGGTATGTGTCAATCAAGATATATGCAAGATCAGGTTTAATGATTAATTAGATGGAACATTGTGGGTGTGGTGTATGAATGTTAACACTTTGTAATAATTCTTTAGTATATTACTTGTGTGGTGTAGAAGAGAATTATCTATGTAGAGATACTGCTTGCAAACCAATGATGGTAAGATGATGTCATGGGGTAGGACTGGATACGTCTGACTTCTTCCTACTCCATTCGAGCATGTACTAGGTATAAGCACATTGATATTGGATTAGCATTTGTTGGATATGTGTAAAATTATGTGTGTTGACATAACTGTCTTTACATGCTTGAAAGAAAAGAATAAATCAAATCAAAATCAAATCAAACTACCAGGACACCCTTCGCTGTTTTCTTTTCTTTTATTAAAAAGATGAATTACATAGAGGCCTTTATCACTGGTGATTCAGACACTCTTTGACTTTATTGTAAGAATTCCCACATTTCCATAGTGAAACGCAGGCTTATCGTCTCCATTTTTGCAATAGACAAAGAGAAGTTACTCTCTCCCACATGTTCATCACATTATACTGAGTTTCCCCCCGAACATTAAACTCATTTCTACTTTTCTGCTTCATGAAATTTGTCTACAACTGGGATTCTTGAAATGATGGTGACACACAAATGACCTCCTCCTTTATGCCTTCAGCTTAAGGTGCTCAGCAATAAAATAGCAACTAAATCACTGGAAGTGTACACAGTGATAACTATTAAGTTTGACCACACCACTGGAGTTCAATTTATGTGTTGTAACATGCAGTTAGCAGCTGAATGTTTGCAGGTCCCATGGTGTGAAGTTAGGGATGCTAACTCTGTGCCTGCACACCAAGCACATCAACTAGCTAGCCTTGGGCAAAGGAAGCAAACATGCTGGAGTATTTGAGTCAGTTTGCATCCCTAATGTTAGAACAAAACGGTAGCCCCGGCGGTAACACTCAACGCTTTACTTGTTTATTTATTTCTGTATTTTTGCCCCCGTCTAATCTCCTGTTCACGAATTAATTACTCAATTAGCATAGCAAATTAGCGAAACAATTATGATGCATGGAAAACTTCCAGCACACACCATCACAGCCAGCCTGGATACAGTTAGTGAAGTGAGGAGAAAAAAATAAAAGAGGAATAAAAGCAGGCAGGGTGGCTTAGAAACTAAAGCCAGAGAATTACAGTTTGTAGCAAAATAAAATGTCTAGCCAAATGAAATGTGATGGTCTCTTTTTAGTGTGAGATGCAATGAACATAGCACTGCAACTGTATTAGATGTGTAAAAAAGTAGCAATGAATTAATTCTTAATGCTTTTTAAAAGGTTGCAGCATGAATGCACAAACAATTACATGCTACTTCTTTCCTACACCACTGCTCCTATATGCACACAGAAATGGAGGTGACAGATGAAGCTACACTAATACATGAAGACTGAGAAAAGAACAGGGTTATTTTAATCCATTTACTTTTACAGGTACAGTAAATGCATTGTGTGTGCTTGAAAATCAATCAGACAGCAGTGTTTATGTCTAAAATTCCATATCCTTCCACTTTGTCTCTGGGTATGTTGTCCTGCGGCTCCTCTGTCTAGTATGACAGACCATCGATAGTGAGGGCTTAGGAGGCAAAAACCTTTTTCTCTCTTCTACAGAACATACTGATAGGCCCTCGCAAGTTTTATCAGGGGTGAAAACATTGCTGCATACTTGCAAACTGGCAAGTCGCATGTACACTGATTCTTAGAAGGAGATTTCGCCAAGATTCAGCAAAGTGTGTTTGCGGTAATAGTTTTGCCACTTTTGTGGAAACTGTAGGCTATTCTTTCTTTTTTACTGGCTCCCAAGAAAAACAATATAAGCTCCATTGTGGGTATAACCTCAATGAACACTGCTGCAACTGCTGCAACTTTTACAGGTGACATGTTAAGTGAGTGGTTAATTTACTATAATTCAAGACTCTACTGGTGTTGTTTGCTTAAGTCTATCATGGAGCTGCTAGACTCTGCCTTCATGACCTTTGCCATACTGTATTTTATTACCTGCACTATTGCTTGGAGAGTACAGCATGCAGGGGGCAGGAGTATCTCCTGTTGTGTGCTACATGTGTGAAAGGACAACTCTGGACAAAGTCTGGACCTGATTCTGCGCACATAATTTAGAGATGATGTGTGAAAACGGCTAAAGACAAAAATAGTGCTTGACGGTTGAACTCTTCTTTGGGAAACAGAAATTGAATTACATTTTTCTGTTCTGCCCATGAGGATGTCACTCAGGTGCATCAGGCAGCGCATAACATTTTGGAATCATTTCTTACTGTGACTCAAAGTCCGAAGTCTAACTAGGAGAAGCCACGATGTTCATCAGACTTGCCTCACACTTATGAAAGATTTTGGATAATTGTGATCCCCACAATTAAATACACACAAAATCCATAATCCATTGAGCCTGATTGTTCACCCAGCAAGCCAATGAGTCCAAGTTACACAAACTCTCAATTACTCAAATATATTGGAAACGAAAAATATTATGTTTTTACTTGTGTGAGTTTGAAGCAGGTGTTGAATGGAGGCATCACAAAGTTTCATTGGCACGATCCCAATGGCATAAGTTCCTTGTGAATATCGTACACCTCATTACGCTCCACTCAGTTTAGGTTCAACGTGTAATTAGTTTAATGAGTGCTGTCCACTGAGAGTACTGTGGAGGGACCCATCTCGTAAGCTAATGTATTTGCATGACAGTATGAGAGATGAGCAGATTGCACATCATAGTCACACAGCGGGATACTCTCCTATGTGTAATAAAGGATCAAAAAGTCACTGATGGTGGAAGTGAGTGGACTAACATTAGGTGCTGTATGTGTGCTCCCTTTTTTAAAAATGGCATTACATTGGTTGGCAAATACTTGCTTTAATTTGTCCAAGTTTTTTCCCCCCTTCTTTCATTTGTCTTTTCCAAGCCTGATGCAATCTGTTCAGTCTTGTCATGTAAATAAAAGCTGCATCCTTGAATAGAGGAAATTAAATTCAAAGCATCCCACTGGCTGCCTGGCAGCTACATCAAATGGCTGAAACAAACCTCTGTTATAATTGCACTGTTGTTGTGTTTTGCTTAAGAGCTTAAAGCCACTACAGGGATAAAAGGCGCTTTGATGGAAGTCAGTGGTCCAAGTGAAGCAAGATAAAGCCAATCAGTAACGTACCAAGTGAGCTACATTCTGCACATTTTGGCACAATGTCCAGCATAATAAAACATTTTCAAAGGCTTTAATGCACTAATATATGATGTGACTGAGGGAAGACAGCTGTAGTATAGATTATACCACACTTCTGTTATCTGCTTGTGCCTTGCAGTCATGCAGTGGCAGACCTTTAAATTCCTGCACAAACACAAGTACCAAAGAGTACAAGAGAGTGTATATTTAATAACTTAAAAGCTCAATTAGAAATTACACAAACAGACTTCTGGTTTGAAAAAAAAACAGGCTGTTACACTTTAATTCAAAGCCCATCTATCTTGTTAAACTGTGTTTGCCACTCGAGATTGCAAATTCAGTGGTCTCCTCGCTGTCTTTTTTTTTTGTTCTGTGAAGAAAGTCAGCAGTCGGAATGTCACCCGTCTTCGCCTGTCAAGGCTGTCACAGCTGGACTCCGCTTGTGAGTTGATTAAAATAGGAGAGTCCATAGCTAATTAAAAAGCTCTTCCCTTTTAATGCGGGAGTGTTAAATAAAGAAGCGGGAGAGGGGATATAAACAGTCTCCTGACAGATCGTTCATTTGCAGAAACTCCAGGCTCCCTGTTGGCTTGAGAGGAGTGTGTGAGGAGAGTGTTGATTTGGAGTAGAAATGCATGTCAAAGGTCACCTCTGTGGAGACATTTCACCGTTCTTTAATTGAGCGTCCATTCCAGGTATCTCCAGTGTGAAAAAAGTGTCCTTCCTGTTTGCGTTTACTCTCTCAGCTCAAAGAACAGGTAAAGTCTTCAACCAGAATTTTGTTTATTTTACGATTGACCCCCATTGCTGCTGCTGCTGCTGGTTAGAAATCCCCCTGGAAGTGGAGATGATGGGGCGGGTAGGGAATGTTTGTAATGAGTTGTTCTGCTGAAATAGTTATTGTACAGTGACACCCTTATGACAACCAGGTGCATTTGACAAAGTTATAAAAAAACATTTTCTAATTGTTCTTAAACCACATTTTGTGATACTACCTTTGTGAAATTTGTGACATGTCATACAGAGGAAAGCACACTCAAACAGAATACTTCAAATGCCTCTTTTCCTATAGATGCTAAATTTGCTTAGCTGGCCGTGAACATCATTTTAAACACTTACAGTAACTCCCACCACCGGCCAAGATCCGAGGGTAATTGGTGGAACCTGAGATTTGAGATTATTATTCAGTCCGTTTCTCACATAAAGTAGAAATGAACCTTTAGTTTGTTATTTTTGCTTGAATAGAAATAAAAGATCTTACATGGAAGAGAATAAATGGTTTATCTTCTAAGCTTTTCAGCCTATTGTGTTGTCCAGGTGATGATGGCCTGCAGGAGACATGCCACGTTGCACACAGTTGTGTAGCTTTGTGTGGCTGGATTCCTACCAGTGGCCCAAAAAAATAAACAGTACATTTTTTAAAGGGAAAACAAAACATGAACATTACTCAGTAAGGATGACAACAGTAAAGAAATATTTTCAGGTCATAAATCACAGTACAGTCATTCCAGCTACAGAACTGTGTGAGAAAGGAAATATTGTTTTGAATGCAAGAAGAAGCAGGCGGCTTGAGGAGCCTGCAGTTGCACGAATAAAGTCGGCCGTACAAAGCAGCAATCCTTGAGAGCGTTTGTGTGGCCCCCAAGTTTTACGACCCTAATTTTTTTTGCATATATTGCCAACATAAATATTGCACTTCCCCATGGGATGCTCCATTGAGGGTTGTTAAGACCAAAGCTCGGCAGCAACAGGTTCAGATACAAAACTTTTACTGCAAGCTTTATGAATTTTTCCCATCAGTGCCTTCTTGATACGGGTTGGTGTGCACAAAGGCGGCATACTGTGTATCCTTAAAAAAGTCAGGATTTCTGTAGTTGATAGGAAATGGATGATTTAAAGTTTATACAGGGGAGAGTACTTAATCTAACCATATAATTCATACCATTAGAACAATGCACTGAAGTGTGAGATATTTCTTGATTCAACCTGAGCCTGAACTTCATTTCTCCACTTACTTCTAAACCGTATCCTGTGCACTTACACTAAAAAGTTGTGTGGTGGGATGATAAATCAGGCTTTTTTGATAATCATGTAACCAGAAATGGATATTTTTGACAGGAGAGTAAAATATGATACTCAGTGCATGAAATAAACAAGAAATATTGTGTCATGAAAGTAGGAAAAAAGCCACGTTTTTGGTAAAAAAAAAAAAAAAAAGATTAATATTGTGCTCTATCAGAAAGATCTTATGCTTAGAGAAAACAGAATATGAGAACCTCAAAGGTTTTGATGCACAACAGGAAAAAAGCAGTTGACTATATCATCATAACCCTTTGGCAACAACACTGTGGTGGGTGATTCAGAAACATGTGCTGCCATTTTATCATGCCGAGGGCCAAGTTTTGGAGCTTTAAACACCCCACCAAGGCTTGATAAATCTGGCTTGAAAAATCTCATTTGCAGAGACTTAGGCATCTGCAACAATATTTATCTTCTTTCCTGTCCAAGGGTAATGGGTTAGGCAGGATGAATGAGGGCAGTCCTCTTGCCTTCAGGTGGAGTGATTTCACACAGGACCCGTAGACAGGCCGCTTATGACGAAGCAAAAGGAAACACATCAACTCCCTCAGTAAACATATCACCATGGTTGAACAATTGGCTATTAGCATAATTAGCCAGCCTGATCTTAGACTTTTGTGTGTCTGTGTGTGTGTGTGTGTTTGGAGGGGGTGGTGTTTTGCTGTTGTTCCACAGCAATTAAACCCATCTAATTTCAAGAAGAACAAACATTCTTTGGTTGCTAGGGGAAAGCTTCGGGCGCAGAAACTTCAGGAAAAATAAAGTCCTTGGTGGCACCAAGTCTTGTCTGATGATGTTTGCTAATTATGCAGCCAAGCACTTCCTGGGAAAAACACAAAAAGTAATAGGCAAAGGTCTGTGCCTGAAGCTTATCAAGAAATAAGCAGGCAACTCTATCTGGATCTGGCCTTTTGTCTCTCATACAAAATGGAGGATGGGAAAATAAAGCGAGCAAGAAAACAACAAATCTAAAGGTCAATTTGCAGTAAAGGACTCTGTCTCAAATGTAATTAACCTTTTGATTTAGGACACTACGTCTTGTAAATAAGCTGGCAATCAATTCATTTGGCTATCATGTGATAGTAATGACTCTCATTAACTGATGTGACCTCCTCTAATCTGCTGCCTCCCAGAATCTTTACCGGGTTTCTTGTCTGGCCTCATGAACTAGCCTCTGGTGACGGCCGATGTGTTCCCACCGATAAAAAGAAGTGTTGCTGTGAAGTCAGTACTTCTCTCATCTTTTTCATTTCTGCCACACTCAATCTCATTGTCTGTGCGTCACTGTCTTTGCTCTTTCTGAGATTGTCTCTTATCTGCAGAAAAACAAATGTCAAACTTAAGCATTCACTGTGTTCTTTAATAGGAAACTGTTGACACATGCATGATCAATCGCATTCATTACAACTACTTCCTATATCGGCTCAGAGATGCCAGTCGTTTCTTTTGTCCTCACTAAGCAAGAAATTGACTGGTAACGAAAACTTTGGTTGTGTAACTTTTTCTATTGCCGAGAAAGTAAATCGGGAAACAAAGTTGGTCAGATAACAATCAAGAACAACAGAGCAAAATGTCGTTTCACACTATCAAGTCTGAGTAAGAGTTAACGAGGCAGAGCATACAGGAAAATGTGGAGAACATGGAACCTGAGACTGTAAGCCAGGACGCCACGGGGTAGTAAGATGTGTGAAATGGTCTTCCCTGTGCAGCCTCACTCAGCAAGGGCCACAGATGTAAAAATATGGCCTGTTTTTACAGCACACTGATTTTATTGGTGAATTTTGATGTAAATGCTTTAATGCTTTTATCACTTTGATATATATAAGGTAAAACTACAATCCTGGGTATGGCTTGGTGTCTGTCACTTTACGTGACGTAAGCCTACCTACAGTAATAAACAGCCAATGATTAATTTAAGCTGCTGAACAGGCATTAGTGACGTTGTGTAGACATTTGATAACACTGCACAAAGCATAGATGTAATATAAGAACCACACTGAAAACAAAACCTCTTTGCTGTGTTTGTGTGTGCAATACATCACTGAATGCTTTAGGGTGACAAGCTGCAATTAACCATGGAGTAGAAGACATTTATAAGCATTTCATATCTCATTAAATACATTTATTTATGTTTCAAGAAAGGGTGTTTTTGTTTTCCAAAGTAGATTTTTTAAAAAACTGACTGATGATTCAAGTGTCTTTTGTTTTTAGTGTCATTTTAAAAGTTGTAGAACACTAGAAAGCAGGAAATGAGTAAATAATTAAAGGTGCACAATATGTGCATGTACAGTAAGGGCAGAGGAGCCTTTGACAGGGGAAGATCATTGTAAAAATCCTAGGGCATTCTACCATTCACAGACTTTCTATGATGAAAAAAGATTCCTTATCCTTTTCAATCAACACTTTTTCTGTTTCTCTGTCCATATCACAGTGAGATCTGATGTTATCTCTAAAAATGTAATTTGGAATAAAAAAGTATCTGTGAAGAAAACAGCTTGACAGGTGGGCAAGGTGATGCCTCAAACTGCTGCTCGAGTAAATGTCAATGCTCCTAAATGGTCGGGAGTATAATGGTTCTGGACTAGAGACAGTTGATCCAAAGACAAAACAAAGTGTCTCTGTATCACTTTTCAGAATACCCCATATGTTTGTACTACTCCGGCTTGGCTTCGAGATCATCACCCTTGAACATCAAAGACGTGCAGCTCCAGCTGAAATGTTTATCTGCTTCCAAGTCTCAAAGCCACCCAGCCAAAAGAAATAATACAACTGTTTCTCACCACCTCAGTGTCCCGTGCTCATTCACTGTACTGCTTAAATGGTCAGTATCTCAGAGTTTATGGCTAATACTGCCGTTAAACATCCCTGCTCTCATAAGGCTCAGTCTACTGCATTGCTGAAGAACTTGAAAGCTTCTCTTCCATAACTGCTCAGAGCAAAGAGAAAAGAGCACTTCCTTGTCAAGTCCAACTATGTTTCCAGATGTGCCAGGGGTCAGAGGTTAAAGATAAAAGTACCAGGATGTGGACTGCCCCAACTACAAACCAGTTTGCAGTGTGTGCATTCCTCACTGGGTAGAGGGGAGGATATAGGATAAGGGAGGGCGTGGGGGGGAGGTGGGGGGTAATGTTTACCAAATGGAAACAAAACAAAATGTCATACATGCTAAACATTATTTAAAAAGGTGGGGAAGTTGTTTTCCTACCAACAACGAGTAAAGGTCTCAGACCCGCCTCTGACCCTCTGCACATCGTGTCACTATGAGTGTTAAAATATTCCACATCTTTCTTTCCAGAGAAAATGAAATCATTTAGCACCACATCCTTGATTAGAAGTTAAAAAAAGAAAAGGGAATTTCAAGTGCAGTGTATAGCACACCAAGCAGAGAGGGGGCTTTGAGTGATAGCTCTGACTAAGGACCGACCTTTCCACCCCCTGGTGCTGAGCAGCAATAGAGACATTGCCAGTTATGTATAAGAGTCTATTACATCGATTCAAGAATGTCTCCCAGAAATTGGGCTAATTTTACAAAAAATGGTAATACGATTATTTCAAGTGTGTCAGAGGCTTAATAAGTGTGGAAATTGGCCTGTCATATAAGACCTGAGAGTGGTGGTAAATTGTGCGATTACAGACGCAAAGCCTTGGTCTCTCTTATTGTTTCTTTACATATTGTAATCTGCTAAATGAAAATGGACTGGGCAACTTCATTAGAATTCTAAAAATAGTGTGTAACATTAATATGACAGAGACAACTTTATTGCAGTATTATGGTAATAATGAGCTTTAGAGGATGTGCAAAGATTACATGTCCCTTGAGATGGATTCTTTTATTATTAGACTCCGAATATTGGCTCCAAAAAATTTTGTTAACCCCAGACACTGACAGACTGCTCCTGCATAAAACTTGGACGGAGAGAAAGAAAGGGGGAAAACACACAGGATATTTAGTAAAGATGACATGAAGATGAGACTGTAGGATTAAACATACCCTGAGGTTAAATATATTTTTAAGATTGTTTAAGATTGTTTAGAGGATTGAGGAAGTTAAGTAGTAGTACAGGTTGTTTGTTTTGAGGTGGTGTTTATGCTGAAGAGAGTCTGCAGGGCCACTAGATGGAGTTAGATCCTACAGAAGAGCTTTGGGACCGTGGTAGAAACAAGACAATAACAGTCGAAGTGAACCAGAGGACACTTAGCTCATTCATGCGCTCAAAGCTGAGGAAGCGAGGATGCATAGTTTCCCACATAGAGACTACAGCACACTCTACCAGTGGCCTGGTCTTATTTAGTGTCCGTGGAGCACACATGATTCATAAATAGACTATACACAGACATACCATGGGAGCAGCTACCTTTTATTAAAATCACCTCATTTGCATCCCCTGTCTCATACAATGAGCAAATTATCTGCACTAGTGTCTGGATTATCATTACCGCTATATGTAAGTAATCGCTCTGTGACTAGAATAGGATTTTGATTTAAAAGATTACTTGTGTTTTTACACCTGTGTTACTCCTTTTTTAAGTGTTAAACAGCTGAACACAGGAACGTACCGATTCCTAGTAAAAGAGTGTAAATTCCACGTTCTTTGAACCACCAAGTTGTAATATTTTTCAAATTTTACAGGGTTTTCTGTGACATTAATCTCAAGGTCCATCATTAAATCATGAAATGGGCTGACGGCATGCCTTACTGTGTGATATGATAATGCTGATACAGATGCATGTCCCAGCCTCTAATGGAGAGAAAATTATATAGTTAGATACATCGATAAGGAGAAAGTGACATGCTATTCTTTCTTTTTTTTGACTTCTCTTCCTCACTGCTTGTAGTCCAAGAGCAGCATTTTAGTGTTAATGGTGGATAAAAGCAGAAGAATTATTGTAATTGGAGAGCATTACCAGTGCAGTTTTTACTCTGATTAAACAGCGCAGTGCAGTCTGCTCCAAAAGAATAATAAAATTTCAAACTGACAACAATGTAATGTGAGATTGAAAGAAAACAATTTCAAGTGCTAGTCCCACAGGAGTAAACGTGAACTCTGTCAACAGATGTTTAATGCTCTGAAAAGGGGGGAGAAAAAAAATCATTTCTCTTGATCTCACGTGATTTGCGCCATTTAGCATGTAGCAGTTGTAATAGGTAATTGACTTCAGAATCCAACAAGGAGTATTTGTCTCATGGTAAATAATGCATTTTTTAGAGCCTTAATGAATATTCATAGTTTACATTGATTGTGAGACATTAAATAAAGGCTTTTCTATATGTTTAGGTTTGTTATTCAATCCGTTACAAGATAATTATATTTTCTTAGCACAAAAACACATTTCTGAACATCCTTTTTCAGCTCAGCTGGCATATCTGTTCAATAGAAAGTCAGCGTTAGCAGCTGATAAGTTACGGCAGTGAATTAACCATTGTTGGTGGATGATCTCGTTTACGTCCTGCTTTGAGCTCAAACTTCTAATTCTCTTTACATACTGAAATATTAAAAGCCTAATATGTCATCTGTCATGACTGTCATTTATTATCTTAGCCGCCTGTCCTGTGGTCCTGTAAAGATGTCTTTCAAATTACTTTTTATTAAATTGCCGGCATTTGTTCCCGTTTATACGCATGTCCTCCCATTTCATTTTCAACTTGGCTCCATTAGTAGCTGCCTATCTGCATCTTGAGGTGTGCCTTTCCAAGCCTTCATTTACCAAATGACCCAACATCCCTGTTTCTGTCTGGCTCAGACAGCTGAGCTGATTAAGAAGTTGCCTTTTGAACACTAATTTATTCCACTCCACCATTTTCTTATATGGCCATTGTTTCATTTAAAGTTTACCCTGCTTCTCCTTAGATGGAAGTCACGCTAATTCTGATTTCCTTTTGGAAAAGCTATTTAGTCTTACAATGTATGATGGATCTGATTAGTCATTCAGGCCGGCCTCTGCTTTTATGCTTACATTAACTAACACAAAGGGCCCCCCTACAGGTTAAAGTTTAAATGTGGATTAGCAGATAAAGCAACTCCTGATTAGGTTACTGTGGGGCTTAGAAGGAAAAATGAATTTTCTCCTGCACATTATTTCACAAACATCTTCACCCTGCCTTCCCTCTCTCCCCTTTCTTTTCTTTTCCGGCCTCATCCTCTCACACTCATTCCCAGCATGAATATCTATTTTGACACAAAATCTTTGAACAATTATGCAAATGCGTGTAAGGGAATACACAATACAGTATGGAAATGGCTTGGAGAGAAAATGGACTCATTAAGGACAGATGGCATGAGTGCTAAAAGTCATTTGTTATGAATGCAGGA